ATACTCTGTGGAAACTTGAAAAGAAAAGAACAATTACAAAAGATCGCAATAGAATTAAAAAAAAAAAGAAAAAAGTTTCAAGGCACAATGATACAGATAACAGAAGATAATATCAAAAGTTTGGCACCTGGGGCTGAGGGTTAGTGGCTGACACCTGTAATCCCAGCACTCTGGGAGGCTGAGGCAGGTGGACTGCTTGAACTCATGACCAGCCTGAACTAGAGCAAGACTCTGCCTCTAAAAATAGCCATTGTGGCAGGCACCTGTAATCCCAGCTACTCGGGAGGCTGAGGCAAGAGAATCGCTTGAGCCCAAGAGTCTGAGGTTGCTGTGAGCTGTGATGCAACCACACTCTACTGAGCGTGACAAAGTGAAACTTTTATTTCAAAAAAATAAAAGAAGAAGAAGAAAAGTTTGGTACCTGGGAAGCAAATAGATGAGAACTTACTGACTGAACACATTCAAGACGGCTGAATGCTAAGCCAACAGTGGCCAAAGTGACCCTTCCAAGAAATTTTATGGTTTAGTGGTATTGATAGAGGGTCCCCCCCACTGAAGCCTGGACAGGGGACCCCAGTTTTCCCAGGCTTAGGCAAATTCAAGAAGGGAACACCCTGACCTTTTGCCCTGAGCTGGAGGGACTGCATTCATTCCTTCGTCGATAACACTCATTAATGATGAGAATGTGCTTCTATTTGCCAAGTCCTGGCCAGGTGTAAATTTTCAAGACCTAATACCCCTAGATAAAAAGCTTACGTAGAGACCCCTCAGTTAGTTCGTCTTTCCCCTGCCAGAAGCTCTGGTTCCTTTTTCTTCTGTATTCCTAATTTCTAAATAAAATCCTGTCTTGCCATGGATTGGTGGTCTGTGAGTTCATTCCTCAAATCCTGGACACCAAGGACCTACTAAAGAGCAAAATTCCAGTAACAGTATCAGGATATTTAAGAGTGAGATGAAGATGAGGCTAAAGGCATGGGGACTGGTTAAAAGTTAGTTTACAGAAGAATGGAAAAGCAAATATCCAATATATTCAATGCTAAAATGAAACCGGTTGATGAACTAATACATGCCCACACAAGAGAAAAACGCAATTCAAAGTTGGGGGAAGGAGCGAAAGGAAGGAGAAGAAGAGAGGGGGTTGGTGTGCTCTCCCCTAATGGGCACAATGTAAGGGCATATGGCACACAACTACAACAGGGACCCTACCTAACAAATGCAAATATTGTAACCTAATTGTTTGTACTCTCATATTAATCTGAAATTTTCTTTTAAAAGGAAAAAATGTTAGTTTTAAAGGAGGTCAAACACTGAGATCCCATGGTAGGGAACGCCAGACAACCTCTGAACAAGATGATCTACAGCTGGGGGGTGGACCCTCGGGCAACTGGTCCTCAGGTGTTCCTTGCAGAGAAAGAGCCTGAGCCCATGGCCATCCTTCGGAACGTAGTCATTGTCTAATACTCCCCTCACCTGTCTTGTACTGTCTCAATAAAAGGCTAGTGCGGAGGTTGCTTGGGGCTACCCTCCAATCAAGGCTAGCCCGGCCCCTGCAAGCTTGTACTTCTAATCCATGTTACGCCTGGTTTCTTCCTGCAGTAATAGAGACCAGGGCCATAGGGGCTGCGACATCCCATCTCTAACCCTTCTGCATTCTGGCATAAAACTAGACATTTATTCTTTGGAATAAAAAGAGCATCTCTGGAAGAGGGAACATCAAACAGGGTTAGGGTAGGAATATTGTACAAAGACTTTTTAAGGAGTCCTTAATAAGTTTCACAATAACTGTATAATTTTCATTTACTGTGTGTATGAAATAATTTAGTCACAACCAAAGTCTAAAGATAACTTCGTGTATCTTTTTAAAGAACAATAGTTCTCCATATACTTAAATTTATGATACATTTTAAAAAATTGTACTCAGTAATCTAAAGCAGAAAACACTAAGTAAATTATTAAATTTATAACACACATTTTTAAAAGTTCTGAAAAGGGTGGTGCCTGTGGCTCAAAAGAGTAAGGCGCCAGCCTCATATGCCGGAGGTGGCGGGTTCAAACCCAGCCCCAGCCAAAAACTGCAAAAAAAAAAAAAAGTTCTGAAAATATATAGTATTTAAGGTGTGATGATTTGTAATTGCATGTATATATATTTTTAATTATTCACATGTTATAGAAAATAAATATTCAACAAATATTGTAGGTTCAAAAAAACCTAGAACCTATGGCGGCGCCTGTGGCTCAGTGAGTAGGACACCAGCCCTATATACCAAGGGTGGCAGGTTCAAACCTGGCCCCGGCCAAACTGCAAAAAAAAATAACCGAGTGTTGTGGTGGGCACCTGTAATCCCAGCTACTCGGGAGGCTGAGGCAAGAGAATCACCTAAGCCCAAGAACTGGAGGTTGCTGTGAGCTGTGACGCTACAGCATTCTCATCGGAGGTTAACAAAGTGAGACTCTGTCTCTAAAAAAAAAAACGAAAGCATAGAACCTATTATGTCCTGTACTTCCAAAAGTAAGAAAATTAATATTCCTTTTCAGACTTCTGGAAATATTCAGAATAAGAAAAGTGATTGATAGGTATGCAACAGAAGGAGGCAAAGGTAAGGATTATAAGAAAAAGTGCCAGGAAGGGATTACAAAAAAATCCTTTTGGATAATTTCTGTACTTTAGGGAGAGTCTTGCTGTCTTGCCTGGACTAGAGTCATTAATCATAGCTCACAGCAACCTCAAAGTCCTGGGCTCAGGCAATCCACCTTCTTCAGCCTTCTGAGTAGCTGGGACTACAGGCAGAAGCCACCATGCCCAGCTACTTTTGGGTAAATCCTAAAATACACTCTAGTAAGTGCGTGAAATGACTCAGGCGAAGAATGGGTTTAATTTCCACTGGAGGAGACACTAAGGGTGGCAACTTTATCTTCATTTTCCCCCTATACAGCCAACGAAAGGGGTAGCAACTTTGTAACAAATGTGTGGTATTATGAAGCAGTTAATAGAAGAAAATTCTCATACAATGGTGTAACATAGATAAATTTCGATATTTGATATTTCTACTTAATTCTTTTCTCTTTTTTTTCCTTTTTCGGAACAAGGTCTCTGCAGCCCAGGCTAGAGAGGAATGGTGTTAATCATAACTTAATCACTGCAACCTTAACTCCTGGGCTCAAAGGATCCTCCTGCTTTGGCCTTCCTGGTAGCTGGGAGTACAGGTGTGCACCAGCAACTTCATCCAATTTTTCTATTTCTGGCTCAACACTTGTGGCTCAAGTGGTTAAGGCGCCAGCCACATACACCTAAGGTGGTGGGTTCGAATCCATCCTGGGCCCGCCAAACAACAATAATGGCTGCAACCAAAAAATAGCCGGGCGTTGTGGTCCCAACTACTTGGGAGGCTGAGACAGGAGACTCACTTGAGTCCAGGAGTTGGAGGTTGCTGTGAGCAGTGAAGCCATGGCACTCTACCCAGGGGGACAGCTTGAGGCTCTGTCTCAAAAAACAAAACAAACAAACAAAAAAAACAATTTTTCTATTTCTTACAGCAATGGAGTCTTGTTCAGTCTCCTCTCCAAATCCTAGTCTCAGGCTATCTTCCCACATTGGCTTCCAAAAGTGTTGGGATCAAGGACGTGAACCACTACACACTTCCTCTACTTCATAAAGTATAGCATGATGAGTAAAAATTTAAATTCTAAAACAATTAAATTCCACATATTATATTCCTGCAATTCTATCAGTAGAATTCCTGTTTGCTCAACTAATAGGTAGTTCCCAGCCTTCCACTCACATTGTCTCACATCTGTCTACAGCTGGACTCTTCTTGGGTAACTCAGGATTCCACTCCCATCAGGTTGAGTGGAATCACTGGAGTGAGGCTGAGGCATTGGCATTTGTAGAGTTTTCCAGGTAATTTTAATGAGCAGCCATGGCGACACCCCACCAGGCTAAATCGCAGTTGGATGATTTTCATCTTCCTGGTACCTCATTTATTTTCTCTTCCAGTGTTATTATTATTATCCTCTTCCACTGACTGAGTATTTACTATATGCCAGGCACAGTGCCAAACATTTTTTGTGAGTATCTCCTCTAATGTTCATAGCAACCCCCCAAGGTAGGTGCCGTTTCTAAGTAACTTGCCGGTTACTGCCGTGCTCAAGCCCAAGGGCTTACTTTGCCTCACTGCTTCTCTTCCCTAATTCACTTCCGATAAGAAACTATTGTGCAATCTAAGTCTCTCCGCGGTTATAAATAAACGTTATCTAGGAAGAGCGAACAAGAACAAGCCGCAAAATGACAAAGGAGCGAAGGTGGCGCGCACCCGGAGACAGAAACACTGTAGGGTAGATGGTGACTTTCAAGATCTCGGATTTCCCGGACCCCGCCGCCCCCAGCAAAGAAAAACCCACACACCTAATGCCTCTAAGCACCCCGACTTAGACCCTCGGCGAAAGCTCGCTCACTGGTCCTTCTTGGCTAATTTCAGGGCTATAATCACCTTTAAAAGCAAGGGGCGGGGGGAACGCAAGGGGCGTGGGGAACTCCAGCATTTCCAAACCACATTTGCGGTTTAGTGGGTTGGTTCATTACTGAAGATGGAGAAAAGAGCCTCCTGTGCCCGCCCGCTCGTCTCAACGAGAGACCACGTGCCTGGGGCTGCCCAGCTGGCTTGCCCCAAAGCTGGGTCGGAGGTCCGGCTCCTGAGGCAGTGCGCCGGAGGTGGGACCGGGGTTTGAGGTCTCCACCCTTATTACCTCCAGAGGCGGGTGCAGGCGGCCGATTGCTTTAGCCGCCGCCCAGGGTCTAGGGGGAGGCTGGCAAGGACTGTGGGGCGCCGCGCCCTGCAGTAGGACACGATCCCAGTTTCACATATCTGGGCGGACCGGCCAGCCCCACCAGGGTTTACAAACTCTCCTTTCATTGACAAGGTGGCTGCGGCGGCCCGGGCTCAGGATTGGGGGCGTGGGAGGTGGCCGCCAGCGTCTCTAACACTGCAAGCTCCAAGGCTGAGAATTCCGCACGGGGCGGGTCCCCCAGGCAGATGCGCTGGGCTTGCCGCGCGCGGTTGCCTTGGTAACCGCACGCGGCTGCGGGAGTCGCCTTTCGCCGCTCGGCCCGGGCCATTGCCGGAAGTGACGCGAGTTCACCTGCCGAGCGGGGGCGGGGGTGCAGAGGTGCCGCGGTCGGAGCCGCAGCCGCCGCCGCCGCGAGCCAGTCGGGAGCACGCCAGGCGCCGGGAGACTGGGACCGGGAGCGACAGCCGCCTACCTGCAGCCGCCGCCCACGGCACGGCAGCCACCATGGCGCTTCTGCTGCGCTTTGCGCTCTTGTGGGGAGTCGCGGGTGAGTGGGGGCCGTTCGGTCCCCGGCACCCGCCCAGCCTGGGGGTTCCTGCAACCCGCGGCCACCCTGGAACAATGGGGCATGGGGGAGGGGGCGGGCGCGATTTGGGGGCGCTGCCGCAGTGGTCGGGAGGCGGGCGGGATTGCACTGCGGTGCTTTTGCTGCGCCGGGCGCGGGCGCCGGGAGGGTGGGGCGGCTCGGAATCGACTCCTCGGGGGCGTCGGGCGTTGGGAGACCGAGCCCAGGGAGAGGAGTGGCGGCAGAGGAGCTCCGGGCGCGCCTCCCGCTCCCAGAGCATTCTCGGCCCGGTGCGGGTTTTGCTTTATTTGCTCTTGCCCTTTCCCTTGTTAGCCTCCCTGTCGAGTCTATCCAGCGTTGCCCAGGTTCAAAAGCCTTAGACGGCGTTTTCAGATGTGGAGCAGTCCAGGCGGGGAGGCTGAATTACAATCGCCATTATTCAGTGGACACTGAGCTGTTCTGTGCCTCGGATGGTCCAGGCTACCTCTAGGAAAGAGTCGAAGAACACTAACCTGGACAGTCTTAGTCTCGTGTAAGAGGCTAGTCCAGACAAGAGCTGCTAACTAGAGGGTGAATTATGAAGTAGACCGTGAGAAAACAAAAGTAGGTTCCTGCAAAAATGCAGTATTGATTTTTGCAGTCTCGGGGCAAAGTTAAGTGACCTTGGGTTTGAGTTTGTAATGAGCTGGTTCGTTTTGAAGATAAGACGAGATGACTCGTACAGGGTAATTCGTAAAGGACTCGCCAAGTACATTTTTCGACCGCTCCTTTTCTTGGGAAGGTGAAAAAAGGCATTTAAAAAATGCGAGGAACATTAAGAGGTAAAATCATTTTGACACTTAAAAAACTGGTCTGTTTTCATGTCTGTGTTTTAACCAGCTGATCTTGTGGTTGTCGAACTGAGCACTTGCTGCGTTTTATAACCAAATGATTTCATTTAAAAGAATCTATAGGTGGGATTTTAGGAGGCACACTTTGTGTAGCCTCCAGAAGGATTTTTTTTTTTTGGTTATGTGCGCTGAAGCTGGATCGAGTGGCCTTTTCAGTTGAGATGGCTCTCTGTTTCCTGTCGAAATGTTAATTCCATTGTTGGATGCTGTAGCTGTGAGCTTTCCCCTCGGGATCACCATTCTATTAACAAGTCTAATCTGTCTGAGCCCATAGCACTACCTCCATTTTTTTTTTTTTTTTGATACATATCATTTAGACTTGGCTGAAATTCCCGAAGTAAAGCTTCCAGAAAAGATGAAGGGTCACGTAATCGTTTACATGCTACATTTCCACCTTTGTTTTGTTAAGACCTAACAAGTTGACAGCATAGTATTTGTGTTCTCTGGTTAAAAAAATGTTTTAGACCACAGTTGAAGCAGAAATGTGGAAGAATATAAACCATGTGGAGGAATTATCCCCCCCCCCCCCCACAATAACCAGACAATTAGATTAGTTTCTTTCCTGGAAAGCCTCATTTGACAGGCACATCCCAACCAAGGCTATTTTGATACATGTAGAGTCATTGTGCACAGTGTACACTGGGATAGGTGAACATCTCATTAAAGACTAATGTCTTCAGCTAAACCAGACAACTCTTTTTATTTCAATTTTTCAGCTTGAGAAGCAGCTCAAAAACTGATGTATGGCTGAAGTATATCTTTGACTTAGAAATGCTTTGCTATGAACTGAATCAAGCTCAGGGTTAATATGATTGACTCCTATATTAGCAAAACTGGAAAAAGGCTACAGTGTTAAAAATTGTAGTGCTATCAGCAACTCTAGAACTGTCTCTATGTAGGGTTTTTTTTTTTTTTTGAGACAGAGCCTCAAGCTGTGTCCCTGGGTAGAGTGCTATGGCATCACAGCTCACAGCAACCTCCAACTCCTGGGTTCAAGCGAGTCTTCTGCCTCAGCCTCCCAAGTAGCTGGGACCACAGGCGCCCACCACAATGCCTGGCTATTTTTTGGTTGCAGCCGTCATTGTTGTTTGGCGGGCCTGGGTTGGATTTGAACCCACCACCTTAGGTGTATGTGGCTGGCGCCTTAGCCATAGGCTCTGAGCCTCTATGTAGGTTTTAAAGAGCTTTCAGTACACTGTGGTTGCTAATAGGACTCCTTTTGATACATTTTTATTGCTTATATACTAGCAAGTCATCCTAGTAGTAGTAGTAGTAAAGCAATGGCAACAGCGATAGTAGTAAAGCTAAACTCCTCATTGAACGGTTATTAAATGTTCCACACTGTACTAAAGGTATTGCCTATAGTTATTTAATCTGTCATGCAGCCCTAGAGGTTATTACAATTATCTCTCTTATACAAGTAGAGAAACTGAGGCACAGAGTAGTTACACTTGCCAAGGCCACAAATGTGCTCTTGAATCTGTGCTTTGGTCACCATGCTACTCTGCCACTTTCCTCTTTGATTACCTCTATTTGCCACCCTAATTTCTACCTCTGGTCGCCTGTTGGTCATTGAGAACCTGCTGTTGGTTTGACTGTGTGCCAAGAACTGAAGGCTTTTAGTATGAGTTCTTTAATTTTATGGTCTTAGTTGAATATTTTGAGTCATTGTGATGACGCTAGGATTTCCAGGGTTTTGACTGGTGTTGTAAACTACTGTGACCCATGTAGTGTCAGCATTACTTAGGGATCTTGTTAAAGTCTGGGGTTCAGTTTTTAAATTGCCAGCAAGAGCGGCACCAGAAGTGACCGCCAAACTACTTGTCAGCCACTTGTTGGTGGCCTCAGTCCTGTCATCTCTTGTGTGTCTCTATTGCTTTCTGTGTCAAGAATTAGGATCCTGGGAGAGGGAGAGGGTTGGTCAAAGGATGCAAAATTTCAGTGATATGGGAGGAATTCGTTCCAAAAAATCTATTGTTCAACATGGTGACTATTGTTAATAGCAAAATATCCTTGAAAATTGCTGAGAAAGTAGATTTTAAGTTCTTACCACAAAAAAAGTGCCAGGTAATATGTGTGTTAATTCACTTGATTTAGCCATTCCACAAGGTATATATATATTTTAAAATAACAAACACGTGGTAAATATATATAATTTTTGTCAAACAAAAAACAGCAAGGATCCTACTCCCTTAGTGAAATGAGATATTTATTGTTTTGCTTTTCCTATAGTAGTCTTTTCCTTTACATAAAAAAAATGTTAAATGATTAGATGAGGACTTTATGCTCTGCATATGCCTCTTAATGTTTTTATTCTTGCCATTATTCTATCATCCAGGGCAAAAGTTGCCTCCCCTCCAAGGCAAGCCTTCTTACATCAGCTCCTTACCAAGTCTATCGTTGAGTCTGTCAGTTATCCAGTTTACCTCCTTGCCCTAGATCAGAGGGCAGGCCCATTACCTGTGTCCATTGTTAGGGTCCCTGGATGAGCTTGTGGCACCTGGAAGATGGCTAGTGTTCAGCAAGTGGTTTTTTGCATGACGGAGTTTTCAGCGTCTTTGCTACTAGGCCTGTGTATATGGCAGAGCTGTCGTCCCCTCCATCTTTCACTCCTTTTCATCCAATAATGGTGGTTCTTATAGTGATCATCCCACCAGCCATGTCTGATTTAGTTTTTAGTCTGAAGAAGTTGAGCTTCTGCTTTCTCTCTGACCTTTTTCTATTTTACCTCCCTACTTCAGTTGCCAACGATTAAGAGTAACCTGTACCGAACCAGCTTATCTCTGTGGAGCTCCTTGATACCTACTTTGTTCTTTCCCACCCTTTTGACTTGCCTTTCACTGCCCTCTACAATGGGACCCTTAAATGTTAGCCTTCCCCAGCATTTGGCCCTTAGCCCTCCTTTGTTTTTTTAGAGACAGAGTCTCACTTTATTGCCCTGGGTAGAGTGCCACAGCATCGCAACTCACAGCAACCTCCAGCTCCTGGGCTTAGCCGATTCTCTTGCCTCAGCCTCCCAAGTAGCTGGGACTACAGGCGCCTGCCACAATGCCTGGCTATTTTTTTTTGTTGTTGTTGTTGCAGTTTGGCTGGGGCCGGGTTTGAACCTGCCACCCTCAGTATATGGGGCTAGCACCCTACTCACTGATCCACAGGCGCCACTCTCCCCTTTTTTTTTTTTGAGACAGAGACTTGGTAACTTTCAGTGGAGTGACATGGTATCTTAGCTCAGAGCAACCTCAAACTCTTGGGCTCAAGTCATCCTCTTGCTTCAGCCTCCTGAGTAGCTGGGACTACAGGCACCCACTGCAACACCCAGCTATTGTTTACAGACAAGGTCTTGCTCTGGCTCAGGCTGGTTTCTAACTTGTGAGCTCAAAGTATCCACCTGCCTCAGCCTCCCAGTGTGCTGAAATTACAGGCGTGAGCCACCATGTCTAGCCCCATAGCCCTCTTTTCAATGTCCATCTTAAACCTGGGTGATGTCATTTAGCCATCACTTTAATCTCCAAGTAGTTTCTAGTAAATTAAAAATATTTCCAGCTAAGCCCCCTATCTCTCCTTTGAATTCCGGGCCACTATTTCCAGCTGCTTAATATTCCACTTCCATTTGAGTACTTAAGACTCTGCAAGTCTCCAGATGAACTCACCCATTAATTAAGTGATCCAGTCATTCAGATATTTAGAATCTACTGTGTACTATGCCTATGTATGATAGGTGCCCTACAATAGAATATGGCACTGCAAGTTGCAGAGGGTTTGGTGGAACATTCTAAACAGTGGAATAGCTTTTACAAAGACATGAAGGGGATGATGTGTCTTGGGAGTTGAGTAGTTCAGTGCATATAAAGCATCAATCAAACACTTATTAAACTTTTAAAAGTGTTTAAAAGTGCATCTGAATCACTCTTGTAAGGAAGCTTGGGGTGGGGTCTGTTTTTTGTTTTTTTTTAATTTTTGACATCCCATGTGATGTCGCTGCTGACCACATTGTGGACAAAGATCTAAAGCAGGCATCCTCAATCTATGGCCCGTGGGCCACATGCGACCCGCCTAGGACATTCATCCAGCCTGCCAGGTATTTTTGCCGCC